ATGCCTTTCGGCCTTTGCAATGCTCCTGGCACCTTTCAGCACGCGATGAATCGAATCTCTCATGACTACTTGGACAAGTTCGTCATCGTGTACCTCGATGACATACTTATCTTTAGTAAGACTGTCAAGGAGCATGTAGCTCATTTCGACCTTAGTCTCCTTCGACAGCACAAGTTCAAGATTAACGGTGAGAAGTGCGAGTTTGGCCGCACCCATCTCTTGTACTTGGGTCAACGCACCTGAGATCATTCGCAGACTCCACGCGAAGGGCAAAGTGACTTCTTTGGTGCGCTGATCACTGAGTTCGGGCTTGCGGACGATGTTACTCGTTCTATGGTGGAAGCCTATCGCGAGGACCCGTTTATGTTTGAGATCATTTGCAGACTCTAGGCGAAGGGCAAGTGACTTCTGCCGAGTTTAGTTGGTCAACGGCTTGCTCTTCCTTGAGAAGGTTGGCAATAAACGTTTGTGTGTGCCTAATAGGGAGGCTTTGCGTAGTTTATTCTTAGGTGAGTGTCATGATGCCACCGGACATTTTGGCTTCAAGAAGACTGCAGCCAACCTGCTGCAGCGATTCCGGTGGCCCACGATGATGAGAGATGCCAAACTCTATGTCGAGACTTGTCAAGTTTGTCAACATGATAAGCCCCGGACACAGGCTCCTCTTGGGCTGCTCAAGCCCCTTCCCATTTCGGAAAGGCCTGGTGAAAGCCTGTCCATGGACTTCATGGATACGCTGGTCACCAGCAAGAGTGACATGAGGTACATCTATGTCATCGTTGACAGATTTACCAAGTATGCTAGATTAGTGGTCATGCCGGAGACAGCAAAGACCGAGTACGTTATCAAGCTATTTAAGGAAAACTGGGTCAGAGACTTTGGTCTGCCAAAGTCTATAATCAGCAACAGGGATGTCCGATTGCAGAACGAGGAACGCAGCTGCAGATGACATCTGGAAATCATTAGGACGAAATGGACAGGCAGAGCAGATGAACCACGTTGCTCAACACTTGTTGAGGCATTACATTAAGCCTAATCAAGCGGACTGGGATGAGAAGCTTGCTCTCATCGCCAGCCTGTACAACAACGCCAGGCTGC